CTAAAAGGCACCATAGACAATGAAGTAATATCATTACTAAACATATATGCACCAAATGGTATAGCATCCAAATTCTTAGAGGAGAAGTTCAGGGAGTTACAGGAAGAAATAGACAGCAAAACTATACTAGTGGGGGACCTGAACCTCCCCCTCTCACTAGATAAATCTAACCACAAAATAAACAAGAAAGAAGTTAAGGAGGTGAATAGAACATTAGAAAAGTTAGGTATGATAGACCTCTGGAGAAAACTGAATGGGGATAGAAAGGAATATACTTTTTTCTCAGCAGTACATGGCACATACACAAAAATTGACCATGTACTAGGGCATAAAAACCTCACAATCCAATGCAGAAAGGCAGAAATATTAAATGCATCCTTTTCAGATCATGATGCAATAAAAATTATATGTAATAAAGGGCCATGGAAAGATAGACTAAAAAATAATTGGAAACTAAATAATCTAATCCTAAAAAATGATTGGGTCAAACAACAAATCATAGAAACAATCAATAATTTCATTCAAGAGAATGACAATAATGAGACAACATACCAAAACTTATGGGATGCAGTGAAAGCAGTTCTTAGGGGAAGTTTTATATCTCTAAATGCTTACATAAATAAAATAGAAAAAGAGGAGATTAATGAATTGGGCATACAACTAAAAAAACTAGAAAAAGAACAAATTAAAAATCCTCAACTAAACACCAAATTAGAAATATTGAAAACCAAAGGAAAAATTAATAAAATTGAAATTAAGAAAACTATTGAACTAATAAATAAAACTAAGAGCTGGTTTTATGAAAAAACAATAAAATAGATAAACCTTTGGTTAATTTAATTAAAAAAAAAGAAAGAAGAAAACCAAATTACTAGTATCAAGAATGAAAAGGGTGAAGCTACCACCAAGGAAGAGGAAATTAAAACAATAATTAGGAATTATTTTGCCCAACTATATGCCAACAAATTTGACAATCTTAGTGAAATGGATACATATTTACAAAAATATAAATTGCCCAGATTAACAGAAGAGGAAGTAAAATACTTAAATAACCCCATCTCAGAAAAAGAAATTGAACAAGCCATTGATGAACTCCCTAGGAAAAAATCTCCAGGGCCAGATGGATTTACATGCGAATTCTATCAAACATTTAAAGAACAATTAATTCCAATACTATATAGACTATTTGGGAAAATAGGTGAAGAAGGAGTCTTACCAAATTCTTTTTATGATACAAATATGGTGTTGATACCTAAACCAGGAAGAGTCAAAATAGAGAAAGAAAATTATAGACCAATTTCTCTAATGAATATAGATGCAAAAATTTTAAACAAAATACTAGCAAATAGATTGCAGCAACTTATCACAAGAATAATACACTATGACCAGGTAGGATTTATACCAGGAATGCAGGGTTGGTTCAATATTAGGAAAACTATCAGCATCATTGAGCATATCAACACACAAAACCAACAGAAACCACATGATCATCTCAATAGATGCAGAAAAAGCTTTTGATAAAATACAACACCCATTCCTATTAAAAACACTAGAAAGCATAGGTATAAATGGAGTCTTCCTTAAAATAATAAATAGCATCTATCTAAAACCTTCAGCAAGCATTATATGTAATGGGGACAGGCTAGAAGCATTTCCAATAAGATCGGGGGTGAAACAAGGATGTCCATTATCACCACTGTTATTCAATATTGTACTGGAAACCTTAGCTTTAGCAATAAGAGAAGAAAAAGAAATTGAAGGCATTAGAATAGGCAAAGAAGAAACAAAGCTATCACTCTTTGCAGATGACATGATGATATACTTAGAGAATCCTAGAAAAAAACTACTTGAAATAATAAACAACTTTAGCAAAGTTGCAGGCTATAAAATAAACCCACATAAATCATCAGCATTTCTATATATTACCAACAAAGCCCAACAGCAAGAGATAGAAAGAGAAATCCCATTTAAACTTACTGTAGATATTACAAAACCCAGGAACTCTATGAACACAATTACAAAACACTTTTCACACAAATAAAATCAGATCTAAATAATTGGAAAAACATCAGTTGCTCATGGGTAGGCCAAGCTAACATAATAAAAATGAGAATTCTACCTAAGCTAATTTACTTATTCAGTGCCATACCAATCTAACTACCAAGAAAATATGTTTTAGAATTAGAAAAAATAATAACATTCATTTGGAAAAACAAAAAGTCCAGAATACCAAAGGAACTAATGAAAAGAAATGCAGGGGAAGGTGGCCTAGCAATTCCAGATCTTAAATTGTATTATAAAGCAGCAATCATCAAAACTGCTTGGTACTGGCTAAGAAATAGGGAGATGGATCAGTGGAATAGGTTAAATATGCAAGACACAGTAATCAATGACTATAGTAATCTATTATTTGATAAACCCAAAGACCCCAGCTTCTGGGATAAGAACCCACTCTTTGAAAAACACTGCTGGGAAAACTGGAAAAGACTATGGCAGAAACTAGGCATACACCCAAATCTCACACCATATACCAAAATAAAGTCAAAAGGGGTTCATGACTTAGATATAAAGGCTGATACCATAAGTAAACTGGGAGAACAAGGAATAGTTTACCTATCAGATCTATGGAGAACAGAAGAATTCATGACCAAACAGGAGATAGAGAACATTATGAAAAGCAAAATGGATTATTTTGATTACATTAAATTGAAAAGTTTTTGCACAAACAAAGCCAATGCAACTAAGATTAGAAGGAAGGTAGAAAATTGGGAAAGAATTTTTACAACCAGTCTCTCTGATAAAGGCCTCATTTCTAAAATATATAGAGAATTAAGACAAATTTATAAGAACAAGCCATTCCCCAATTGATAAATGGTCAAAGGATATGAACAGACAGTTCTCAGATGAAGAAATTAAAGCCATCTATAGTCATATGAAAAAATGCTCTAAATCATTATTGATTAGAGAAATGCAAATCAAAACAACTCTGAGGTACCACATCACACCTATCAGATTGGCCAACATGACAAAACAGGAAAATGATAAATGTTGGAGAAGATGTGGGAAAATTGGAACACTAATACATTGTTGGTGGAGTTGTGAAATGATCCAACCATTTTGGAGAACAATTTGGAACTATGCCCAACGGGGTATAAAAATGTGCATACCCTTTGACCCAGCAATAGCACTTCTAGGGCTATATCCCAAAGAGATCAAACAAATGGGAAAAGGACCCACATGTACAAAAATATTCATAGCAGCTCTTTTTGTGGTGGCAAAGAATTGGAAATTGAGAGGATGCCCATCAACTGGGGAATGGCTGAGCAAGTTGTGGTATATGAATGTAATGGAATACTATTGTGCTATAAGAAATGATGAACAGGTTGACTTCAGAAAAACCTAGAAAGACTTGTATGGTCTGATGCTGAGTGAAATGAGCAGAACCAAGAGAACTTTGTACACAATAACAGCCACATTTGTGCGATGACTAATATTGATAAACTTAACCCTTCTCAGGAATACAAGGATCTAAGACATCCCAGAGGCCTCGTGATGGAAAATGCTATCCACATCCAAAGAAAGAGCTATGGAAGTTGAATTGCTATCATTTTTTTTCCACTTCTGTTGAGTTTTGGTTCCTTTTTCTAGTGGTTCCTCCTATTGTTTTTAATTTTTACTTACAACTTCACTAATGTGAAAATATGTTTAAAAGGAATGTAAATGTATAGCCCATATGAGATTGTGGGCCGTCTTGGGGAGGGTGGTGGGGAGGAAGGGGGAGAAAATTTTTAAATTCAAAAGCATATGGAAGTGATTGTTGATAAATCAAAATAAGTTAATACAATTTTTAAAAAAAATCATCAGAGTGGGACTTTGGTGGATGTAAAGTACAAACTGGCCCTTACAAAGATCACATGGGCTTTTCGGGCAGCATCATCAGGCTGGCAACTTGTAGTGAGCTTGCTGTCCACTGTCCACTTAGACACCCCCCCCATCTTTTTCTTTTCTCTCTTTTCTTTTAGGCAATTGGGGTTAAGTGACTTGCCCAGGGTCACACAGCTAGAAAGTGTCAAGTGTTTAGTCTGAGGCTGGATTTGAACTCAGGTCTTCCTGACTTCAAGGCCAGTGCTCTATCTACTATGAAACCTGGCTGCCCCCACCCAGATCTTTTTCTAGGTGAATTGTGCAGCTAGCCAGCCAGGTGGTAGAGTTTATTCGCTTAACCCAAATGCAGAATCCCACCTCCAAGCCTTACTAGTGTCACACGAGTTTCCATTTTCTCAGATGTAACATGGGGATAATACTGATAACTATGTCACAGGTGGAGTACCATTTGGGGACACCTTCAAACAAGGCTGAGTGAAGAGGGTAGATAGCTGAGCTCACTCAGAGACCTGGGGGATTTCTCTGAGCCTCGGAGCAGCGGAATGGTAAGAGGGACGGTCCAGGCTATCAGATGGAACCCTATCCTTTCACAGATTTGGAAACCGAGGCCTGAGAGGTGGAGTCACTCGCCCAAGGTCTCTCGGACCTCAGAGGTCTGCTGGTCCAGCCTGCCCTCCTCCCCGCCCCCGCCCATTTTACAGACGAGGCCACTGAGGCTCAGAGAAGTTGGGTGACCCGCCCCAGATCACAGCGGTAGCCCAGGGCTCTGGAGAGCTGGGGAAGGAGGCTGCCTGCCCTTCTTTCTGGGGCTCCGCTCCGCCTCCTCCGGCCCCGCCCGGGCAGGCGTCAGTTTCTCGCCCACATCTTTTCAGCCCAGCCGGCTCGCACCTGCGCCCTGGGATAGAGGGTTGGTCTAAGTTGGTGGCGGCAATCCCGGAGGGTTCAGGGGCGGGGCTTCGCCGAGCGCAAGCGCTCACCCTCCCTCCTCCCGGCTTCCCTGGGGCAGGGGCAGCGGCTCTGGCGCAGGCGCAGGCGGAGCGCGGCGCGGCGGGGCGGGGCGGGTCCACTGCACCGATTTCATCAGCCGGGCCGAGCCGCGCATGCTTACGCGCCTGCGCTCTGCCCCCTCTCCGCGCCCCCTCCGCCCCCTCGGGTCCATGCACCCGCGCCGCGCGTTGCTTCTGTTGCCGCCGGTGCTGCCGGCTCTGAGGCGAGTGCGGACTCCGGCCCCGCGCCCCCAGCCCCGCGCCGCAGGCCCTGCCCCCGCCCGTCTCTCCTCCTCCTCCTCCTCCTCGGCGGCCTTCTCGAGGGCACGGCCGCTGGGCCGCAGCATGGACGGGGCCCAGGCGGAGGCCGCGCTCGGCCCTTTCCGCCTGGCCGTGAGGCAGCAGGTAAGCGCCCCCGGCCTCAGTTTACCTCTCCGTGTGGTGGGGGAGGGGCGGCAGGGGGCTGTGGGCAGCCGACTCCGGCCTCGGTTTACTCCTCTGCGCAGTGGGGGTAGGCGGTTGTGAGCTTGGGAAGGTCCTCGTCCTCCTCGGTCTCGGGGAGCTGGACTGCACGGACCCTGAGATGCCCCCAGCCCCAGGTCCGGGAGCTCCTGATCAGTCTCTCTGATCCTCAGTTTCCCCTTCTGTCAAACCGGTGCGTGGCGTGGGACCGGATGGACCCGCGGGTCCTTTGGGCCCGCGCTTCCTTCACTCCTTCTGTGAAGTGTCTTGATTGCGTGGCCCTCAGTTACCGCCCATGTAAAGTGACACGACCCTCCCCCCGCCAGTGACCTCTGGGGCCTTGCGTGACCCGGGGCCAGATGGACCCCAGGGCCCCTCCTGCCCTCTTTGTGTTTCCTTTGCCAGAGGGGTCTCCCCTCCCCCCTCAGATCATCCCCGGTCTCTGGGCTTCCCCGAAATCCGCCCCAGGGTTCTGTGACCTTGTGGCCTCTCCGGATGACCCTCCCCCCTGCCCCGCAAATGCTTGCTCGGTCCTTCTGCCTTTCTCTGCTCGTTGGTAGAGGCAGCCGGGTGCCCTAGGCGCCCACTGTGTGTCAGGCCTGTGCTGGGCACTGGGGCTGCCAGGAAAGAGCAAACCAGGTTCTTCAGGTCAGGAGCTAGGGGGAGGGCTGGGCTCAGGACTTCCCCCTGCCCAGGCGGAGATAGCAGCCAACCCGCATTCCAGGCAGGGATGCCCAAATGGGCCAGGCTGGTCCGCAATCAGGCTGCATAAAGGTGTGTGCTAGCATGGTTCCTGGCAGTGTTGCATTTCCTTGTACACAGAAAACGGTCTGCTCCTTTCTCTAGTCTCCCTTTCCTCCCATCAGACAGACAGTCACACACACACGATTAGACATAGATGCATATGTACCTGCATGCTTCCTGCATACATGCACAAGTGCACCCTTTTTGGAATCTAATCTAGGGGTCAGGAATAAGGGGATTTTTCAATTCCCAATTGAAAGTATGAATTTGGAGGATTGAGAGAAAGAAATGTTTTTGTGCTGCAGGGGCAGAGAAGTCAGGGGTTTGTTGTGGGCGAGGCCAGGAGGGATCATGGATCTGGATTCTGTGTGGCAGCTCCTGGTGTGCCAATTATCAATAATGATTGATGAGTAATTCCTCTTCAGTGGAGAGTTGGCACACTGAGGCTGTGACTTGCTCAGAGCCATCAACAAGCATTTATTAAGTGCCTTCTGTGTGCCAGGCCATATGCTAAGCTCTGAGGATACAACGAAAGGCAAAAACAGCTTTTGGAAACAGCTTTGTATATGTAACAGGGGATAGATGAGCTGTATTGGAAATCACAGAAGGAAGACAGTAAGCTTGAGGAGGATTGAGCAAGGCTTCTTGGAGAAGAAGGGATTTTAGTTGGGACTTGAAGGAAGCCAGGGAAGTCAGCAGCATAATGCCCGGGGCTGAGTGATGGAGATGAAGATAAGGGAGGCCAGGGTTGCTATTGCAGAATACCTGGGGGTTAAAACAGAAGGAGACTGGAAAGTTAGGAAGGGGCCAGCTTTTGAAGGGCTTTAAAAACCAAACAGGATTTTATAATTGATTTTGAAGGTAATGGGGAACCACTGGAGTTTATTGAGTAGGGAAATGACACGGTCTAATCTGTGCCTTAGGAGAATCACTTTGGGTGACTAATTGGAGGATGGACTGCAGTGGGGAGAGACTAGAGGCAGGCAGGGACCCTGCCTCCTCCCCCCAGCAGCTATTGAAATGATCCAGGTTTGAAGTGATGAGGGCCCAAACTAGGGTGGGGGCACTGTCAGAGGAGAAAAGAGGGCTATTCCAGAGATGCTGTAGAGGTGAAATTGAGGAGAGATGAGAAATGTTGAAGAGTTGAAACCAACGATTGATGTTGCATAGGGGAAATTGAGGAGAGATGAGAAAAGTTACAAAGGTAAAATTGAAGGTAGATGTTACAGAGGTGAAATGATAGATGTTGCAGAGGTGAAATTGAGGAGAGATGTTGCACAGGGGAAATTGAGGAGGGATGTTGCAGAGATGAAATAGATGATATTGCAGAGGGAGATTGAGGAGGGATGAGAAAAGTTGCAAAGGTGAAACTAAAGATAGATGTTGCAGAGGTGAAATTGATGATTGATGTTGCAGAGGGAAATTGAGGAAAGATGAGAAAAGTTGCTAAGGTGAAACTAAAGATAGATGTTGCAGAGGTGAAATAGGTGATAGATGTTGCAGAGGTGAAATCCACAAGCCTTGTCAACAGCTTGGATGTGGAAGGTGGGAAGGTGAGAGAAGGGGAGTTGAGAATGATACTGGCGATAATTGTGATCCTGGTAACTGGGACAATGGTGGTGCCCTTTGAGAAGAGAGGAGGGTTTGAGGGTGGTTGTTATGAAGGGCAAACTACAACAACAATAATTTAGTTTAAGATGTCAGTGGGACATTCCTTTCAAGATGTTTAATAGGCAATTGGAGATTGGAAGAGACTTTTGGGCTGAATAAGTAGATCTGTGTGTGTGTGTGTGTGTGTGTGTGTGTGTGTGTGTGTGTGTGTGTGTGTGTGTTGTGTGTGAGAGAGAGAGAATGGTCTGGGTCCTAAACCTTCCCTCTTTCCACTGTACCAGGCTGCTTTTCTGCCCATCTTATAAAGGAACATTTTGGAATTATGGAATTATTTAAGTTTTCATGCAGCGAATGGGCTATGTGAATGGATGCCTTTTTAGAATCAGAATTGAGTAAAGGGATTCAATCCCATCACCAGTCTTGCCTTTGGAAACAGATAGGAAAATGTGTCTAGTTGGAAGTGGATGCACATGTTCAGTGAGATTCATTTAGGACCAAACCTCAAACTGGTTTCTCCTGCAGAGGTGCCTGATGCAATAGTTTCTGCTTCAGTCTAATAGCAGGGTGGGTCCACTGGAAGGCCCAGAGCAGCAGGAGCCAGCACTGCCCCGCTGCAGGCCGGTGCCCTTCCTCACTGGGCTAGGTTTGGGTCTGCAGCCTTCCTGGTGGTCCCCTTTTTCCTTTCTTTAGACTGGTGTCCAAGGCAGTGGGGGGCGCGTCCTTCTCCAGCGCATGTCCTGGCTGCATCCCCTCAATCAGGAGAGGTGTTGGTTGCCCCACATTTTGCTGTGGTTTCTGTAACTCTCAACTTTTCATCCTCCTCTCTTTGGAAACGAGGCATGTTTTTTTTTTTTAAGTTCTATTCCATTTAAACCCCTCCTTCTGCCACGTTAGCCTGGGACTGCAATGCAGACCAGCTGTTTGGGCAAAACCAGTTACCTAAAATGAAAGGGATTGAGTAATACTTGTCCATTGGGAAGAAAAACCGAAATGTTGAGCTTTTGAAAGAAGCACACTTGTTCCACAATTTGTTGGTTCTGTTAAACACCCCAACCTCCTGTTTTAAACACAGATTTTCTGAATGAGGAATTGGCCTCAGCAGCATCTGCTCTTCTTAATTACTGCCTTGACCAGCTGGTTATGTCAGTGGGGAGTTGTTGTGTCTCTTGGCATGGCTGTGTCCCCGGATGGGAAAGTGCTCTGTTGATGGTCAGCTAGCGTGTTGACTTTTTTCTTGTTGCTTTTTTCCCTTTGGAAGCCCTAAGTGGTCTGTCTTTCATAGGGAACTGCGGCAGCTTCTCTCCGGGGATGGGAGGCTGAGGCTTAGGTTGAGAACAAGTGGGGCCTCACAGGCCTGAACAGATAAGGTGCCTTGGGGGAGTGAGGAGGGAACCCATGACCCTGGGGCTCCTTCCATGTACCATTCATTGATTCGGCTTTTAAGGGGCCTGGAGAAGAACTCTGATTACATCCTGGCTCAGATTCCTCCCAGCCTCAGTTTCCTTATCTGTAATTGGGGGTCCTAAGACCGCCTGCCGCCCACGGTTCTCAGAAGAGGCACTGAGCAGGTGAGTGGGAGGATCCACAGAGGCAGCGGGGACTCCATGGAGCCTTCCCTTTGGGCGGGTCTCACCTCATCCTTGGAGGAGGGAGTCCAGCCAGGGCTCAGGTGCTGCGGCGCATATAAAACAATGCACGGTGTATAATCTTGTCCTTAATTGTGAGTCTGAGGAGATGGAGGCTCACTAGCAGAGGCAGATCCTGGAGGGAAGACTCTGATTGGAGCGCCATGGAGGCAGAGAACAAGTACAGAAAGAAAAGCTTTGAGGGATGGGACACTGAGGTGACGGTCCATGAGGCAGTCAGAGAGTGGGTCTGGAGCTCCTGCTATGCGCTGGCGGTCACAAGCACTGGGCCTGGCTGGGCTCATCTTGGAGGTTCCGCCAGATGCAGGCCTCGCTGAGCCCTCCTCCTTGGACCTGTGAACCTCTGGGTTTTGGTAGCCAGTGAAGCTAGGCAGGTAGTGTGGTGTAGACCTGTTTCCTGTGGTAGCACCTGGGAAGTCCTGATGAACTATGCTTGTTAGCGGACCCTGAAAAGAGCTGTCACCAGGGCGTGTGCCTCGCTGTGCCCTCCTTGCCTGCCTCCCTCAGCCTGAGCGCTGAGATGCCCAACAGACACTGAGCCTGGCCTGTTGGTAGTTCACTGCTCTCTCACGGTGGGACAGAAGCCGGGGAGACTGCTGACTCTCATCCCCTCCCCTCCTCTCCCCAGGGAGCCATCCCTTATAATACAGAACCAGGAAAGGACAAAATCCAGTTAAAAGCGTGTCAGCCTGCCCGTGTGTGCAGCACTCCTCACCCATAGGCTCCCACTTCTGTAGAGAAGACGGGTGGATTTTCTGATCATGAGGACTTCCCTGCTCTTCTGTTGCCTTTTTCTGGGTTCAACCACAGGTCCATAAGCATTGATGGAAAGCCAGGCCCTAGGCATACAGAGACACAGATAAATGAAGCTACCCCTGCCCTCTGGAACAATGAGAGCCCAGGCCCTTAGTGAAGAGGGCCCATCTGGGGTGGAGTTTGGGAGGAATCATCCTTGCTGCTATTTCTGTAGTATATTAGGGATTGCAAAGCACTTTGCATATGAGGCTGCTAAGTGGCACTGTGGTGCATGGAGCGCTTGGCCTGGAGTCAGGAAGACGTGAGTTCAAATGTGGCCTCCCACACTTATTAGCTCTGTGACCCTAGGCAAGTCACTTCACCCTTTCTGCCTCAGTTTCCTCATCTGTAAAATGAGCTGGAGAAGGCAATGGTAAACCACTCCAGCGTCATGAAGAGTCAGATATGACTGAAAAGCAGCTGAACAGCAGCAAAATGAAATGGCCTGTGTGATTGCATCTGATCCTCACAAAACCCTGGGAGGGGTTTTGCACCACCTGACTGAGGCCAAGGTGGGGAGGGAGTGCAGGGGCAGAGCAGGAGACTGGGTGTTGTAGGTGAGGAGCAGCAACATGGCCAGTTTGGACTGTGGTGTACAAGTCTGGAGAGAGGTCGGGCCCCGCCAGACTGAGGGATTTATGTTTGATCCTTGAAGGTGAGAGTGGACCACAGAATTAGTTATTGAGTCAGACGGTGAAGTGCCTGCTTTCTGGCCCCTGGCCTGGAGGAAGCTGAGGGGTGCCCGTGGGGTGGACGCTAGAGACTATGGCTGTCGTAATCACCTGAGCAGCAGAAGTCGAGGTGTTCGGAGGAAGAGAAGCTTTGGGGGGAAGAACAAGGCCGCTTAGGGATGTGTCTCTGCCACAGCCCAGGTCCTAACGCAGTCAGTGATGGAGCCTGGGTGAGGCTCATTTGGGAACCACCGGGGCACAGGGAGGGTCCCTGAGCCCGTGGAAGCCCCCAGAAGGGGAGATGAGAGGGGCTGTGAGAGAATGGGCATTGGGACGTTCCAGCGTGGAGAGAGCCGTCGCAGCTGGCCCCTGCCATCCGGTGATCCGTGAGGCGTAGCTGTGGGAGCGCGGACCTTGGGAGGAAGGGAGGCCCCAAGTCCTCTGGGTTTCAGGGCCCTGGATTTGTCTGCTGAGGGTGGGCGTTTCTTGACTGAAACCCCGCTGCGATGAGCACTCTATCTTCGTTGTTTTTCCTCCCTTCAGTGTCTTTGAAACGTGTGTCCCCGACTCGTGGACATTGTCTTTTCGTCTCTCTCTCTCTGGCTTCTGAGAACGAGGCGGGAGGCTCCCCCTCCTGACCAGGCCTGGCGTTGATGCCTGGGTTTTGGCAGTGCCTTGTCGGTCACTTCTAGAGGGAGGAGGTGAGGGTTCCTGTGTCCCATGCATCTCCTCTTGCAGTCTGTGCCTTCCCTGTCTCCTGTGGGCCGGCTGCCACAGGGACCTCTGCCTTCCCTTCTCCTGGTACAAAGGGGTGTTCTGGGAGCTCTCCCCATCACCGTTATCTTCATTAACTACAGAGAGATCAGTTGTGCCTTGGGAAGCCGAGCTCAGCCCGCCCCCAGGCTCTGCCCGGTCTCTAACGTCAGTCACTCAGCTCACTCGAGGGAGGGGGCTGCTCGCTGCTCTGCCCTGCCCCCCTGCTCAGCGGAGGGCGATGTTTGTGGGCTGGAGTTGTCATTGCTGGCCATGACGGGACAGCGGGAATCGTCCTCTGTGGCTCTTCAAATTCGGGGGTGATTTTTAGCCAGGCTCTTTAAAAGGAGGAGGACCGGTCCTTGTCGGTGCCCTCCCGCGGATGCCTTTCCTGTGCCTTTCCTGGCTGACCCTGGTTCTCTGTGTCCTTTAGGGGGATCTGGTGAGAAAGCTGAAAGAAGACAAAGCCCCCCAGGTCGATATCGACAGAGCTGTGGCAGAGCTCAAGGCCCGCAAGAGGATTTTGGAGGCCAAGGTGAGGCAGCGAGCAATCCCTTCTGTCCAGGAGCTCGCTGCTAGCAGTCACCCAGGTCCTTTGGGCAGGTGGGCATCCGCCCACACGAGGTGGTGTTAGCTACTCTGGGCACGGGTGATGCCAGGGCAAAGGCGTGGAGGTGGGAGATGGAGGGTCCTCTGTGTGTGGGGGAGGAGTGACCATCCGAGAGGCCCTAAGGGCTTTGTTTGGGGCCAGGGTTTCCTTTTATTCTGCTCTGCTTTAGTTCAGTGGGGTGGGGGGCAGGGGATGGATTATGAATACAAGTACATGGAAGTGAAACCAGGGTTTATGTTTTCACTTCCAGGCTCTAGGGAGTTGGGGGAGTTACCTGGTCAGGTCTGCAGGTCAGAAGAATCCCTTTGGCCACAGAGTGTAGGATGGGGGTTGGTCGGAGGCAGGGAGGCCAAGGAAAAGGTTACAGGGCAGGAGGAGGTGTGTGAAGAGGAGGGGCCACCAGGGGTGTAGAATGAGGGAAGTGCGGAAGGCAGGAAGGTTGATGCCCTCGCTTCTGATCACTGGCTGCAGGTGTATGAGGCTGGTGGTGATTTGGGCCCAAAGCTCAGAGGGGAGGCTGGGCCGGCTGTGGGGACAAAATCAGGGACTGAAGAGGGTCCCCAGGGAGAGAACAGAGGGCCCGGGACAGTGAGGAAGGGATGTGGCGGAGAAGTGCAGAGGGACGGGGGCAGGAGCAGTCAGATGGGGTGGAGGTGGGGGTGACCCAGGAGAGAACATTCGTGGAAACCAAGCTGAGGGTAGGGTGACAGACAGTGGCAAAGGGGGAGAGAAGACCATCAGATACACATGGTCGAGGCCTTTGGAGAGCAGATTCTGTTGAGTGATGAGATTGAGGGCCAGGTTACTAAGGGCTGGGGAATGAGTGAGAGGAGAGGGGGTAGAGGCAGCCATTGTAGACGCCTTTTAAAGAAGTTTAGCTGTGGGGCAGCTGGGTGGTGCAGTGGATAGAGCACCGGCCCTGAAGTCAGGAGGACCTGAGTTCAAATCTGGCCTCAGACCAGACACTTGATACTTACTAGCTGTGTGACCCTGGGGAAGTCACTTAACCCTAATTGCCTAAAAAAAAAACCCCAAAACAAGCAAACAAACAAAAAAATAAGTTTGGCTGAGAGAGAGGAGAAGGTGGGGAGGGGAAGTAGGGCCTGGTGAAGGCTCTTCAGGGAGAGGAGAGACTCAGGCCTGTTTGAAAGGGGCAGAGAAGGAGCTGTGGAGAGGAAGAGGGGTGGAGGACCAGCCTGCCAGAGAGACCTGGGGGGTGGGGTGGGGGCAGCTGCCAAGGGTCTCTGGGGAGGACCTGGTGTGGGGTAGAAGAGGCGGTGAGGACAGGGAGGGTGCGCTGAAGAGGGTGGCGTGGAAGGCTCATGAAGGGAAGAAGAAAAGGTTAGGAGTAGCTTGTGGGGGCCAGGGGCGAGTTCTAGAGTTGGGGGGGGGGCACAGGGACTGCCTTGCAGCAGGGAGGGCCTGCGTGGGGCTGCGCAAGCTTGGTGAAGATGAGGCTTCCTCCAGATTGGTTCATCCCTGTGTGTATGGAAGCAGGGAGTCCTGGGAGGCTGTGGCTGAGGTGGCAAGAGGAGAGGGGCCCCGGGTGGGGGACAGGGGTCCGAGAGGAGAGGACAGACTCTAGCTGGAGTGGGAGGAGAGTGATCTCAGGCCCAGAGTGATGGCTGGAGGAGACGGTCCTGAGTGACTGGGGGGGGGGGGGTCAGGGAAGGGGGTGCGCATTTAGTAAGCCCCTACTGTGTGCTGGGCCCTCTGCTAAGAACCTGGGAGGAAATGACCAACTTTCCTGGTTGTTAAGCTAAATTGTCATCCTGGGGCTCTGCAGATGCAGCAGGGCTGCTTCCTGCTTGACAAAGGCCAGTCTTATGCCCAGTAACTGTTACAGAAAAGCCTGATCCCTTGTGGGCGTGGGTGTGTGGTTTGGGCGAGCGCTCATCGCTCCGTGTTGTTCCTTTTCCCCCCAGGAGTTGGCGCTGCAGCCCAAAGATGACACCGTTGACCGCGTTAAAATGGAGGACACCCTCAAGCGGAGGTTCTTCTATGACCAAGCCTTTGCGATTTACGGAGGTGCGGGAGTCACGCCAGCTCACGCGGGGTCTGCTCCGTGCTGGTGCTCTAGGTTTGGAGTTGGGGGTGTGACGGCCAGTTCAGTTCTCGTTTCTTGAGTTGCCTGAAGGTTTCAAGCTCGATTCTTTGACTTGGGGATCCCCAGGGCCCTTCCCAAGCAGGAGTCCCTGTGTCCTCCCTCACCAGGCAGACCTGGGGTCGCTCTGCATGAACTCTTGTCTTCTAGCTGCCTCTGCCTGGAGAGGGCAGGGCTGAGGCTTGGAATTGGCTCAGCTCTGAGTGTAGTTGAGGGCTTCTGCTCAGAACCCTGGCCCTCGGACTCCCTTTGGATCCTGGTTCTGTTGCCAGCGTCTGTTGTAGGCCTTTGTCCAAGATGTCTGGGCCCAGTTTTGGGGGGGGTCTGGTCCTCTGGCCGTGCCAGGCCCGCCTCCTGTCTTGTCCATGAGGTTGCAGTAGCCTGCACGCAGATTAGAAGGGCCCTTCTGTCCTCGGCACTAGATTTCTTTCTGCCATGACAGTGGAGGGAGGGTTGGGGGGCCTGGGTGAAGGCTGCCATGTCCACCAGAGCTGTGCTTCCTCGGAGGGACCTTGGACTGGCTCTTCTGGGTCATACTGAAGCCCCTGCTTGGGCAGTCTCCAGACTGGGGGGGTAGGGGGCACTGTGTGTGTGTGTGTGTGTGGGGGGGGTCTTTTCTCTGTGGGTGCTGTGGGCTGCCACTGTCTGCCTAGGAGGAGAGAGCCAGATGTAGGAATCCATGTAAGGACAGTGCTTTTGTGACTGCCCTAACCTTGACCCCACGGTCAGTCTGACCAAACCCGGGACTTGAGGTTTGAACTCGAGAATTAAACAGCACTGTTGCATCTGTGGAGCCCCAGCATGACAATGTAGCTTAACAACCAGGAAAGTTGATCATTTCCTTCCAAGCTGTTAGCAGAGGGCCTGGCATACAGTAGGTGCTTACTAAATGCGCTCCCCCTTCCCTGACCCCCAGGCTTCACTCAGGACCGTCTCCTCCAGCCATCACTGGTCCTGAGGTCACTGTCTTCCCACTCCATCTCGAGTCTGTCCTCTCCTCTCAGACCCCTCTCCCCCCTGCCCGAGACCCCTCTCCCTCCTGTCCGAGGCCCCTCTTCTCTTGCCACCTTAGTTTGGCTCCAGGCGTCCACGCTGGCATTGGAGACATTGATGCTGGAAGTTTAAGTTGGTCGTTAGTGACAGCTTCAAGAGCAGAATGCTCATTCACTTCTTCAGCAGGGTGACACAGAGGGGCAGGAAGGAGAGGGAGCTGAAATGCAGCCTCCTATAGTGCACGGCAGCAAAGCCCCCTTCCTGACGTCTGTCTGTCCTGAGAACGTGGCGGTCCCCTCCCTGCAAGTGGAGCCTTGGCCCTGGGGGCTCTGGCCTGGCAGGGACAGCCTGTGTTCCTCCCTTCTCTCTTTCCTCTCCCAGGAGTCAGCGGCCTGTATGACCTGGGGCCTGTGGGGTGTGCCCTGAAGAACAACATTGTCCAGCTGTGGCGGCAGCACTTTATCCAAGAGGAGCAGATCCTGGAGATTGACTGCACGATGCTCACCCCGGAGCCTGTTCTCAAGTATGCTGGTGTCTCCTCCCAGCTCACGTGCTGCCCATGTTGGCTGTGCCCCTGGGCTGGCTGGGCAGCTGGCAGACCACCGAGATCCTGGGAACACAGTGCGTCTGTGTGGGGGCTTCCCGGGCTTGGCGCTCACTTACCAAAGAGGAAGTTATTAGAGGGCTTAGGTTTCGAGCCAGGAGGGACCTTGGGGGCCAGGGAAGGCTGGCCTGCTCATTTTACAGAGGAGGAAACAGAGACCCACAGGTCACACCAGCAGTCAGGATCTGAGGCAGCATTGGCACTCGGGTCCTTGTGATGCCAGATCTAGCACCTTGCCCCCAGCTACCTGAAAATAGGGAGGACTTCCTGCTGGGCATATGCGTTCCTGGTAGAGTTAGTGTTGGGTGTCAGCTGCCCAAAGCTCAGCCTGAGCGTGAAGTAGCACATTTGGTAAAGAAATGCCGGTGGACGCTGGCCTGCAAAAATGTTTCACCGCCACGGCGGGTTCCCTTGTCACCCACCTCTCAGCTCACAGCTGCGAGAGCTCCCCTGGGAGTCAGGAACACCTGCCCTTGGGGCGCGTGGGCTTCAGCTGGGTACTTGTTTTTACAGGACATCTGGCCATGTTGACAAGTTTGCTGACTTCATGGTGAAAGACGTGAAAAGTGGAGAATGTTTTCGTGCCGATCATCTCTTGAAAGGTGGGGTTTCTATTTCAGAGGACCAGGCTTCCCCGCTTGGGGCTCCTGCAGGCCCAGGAGCATGGGAAGGGTATCGGGGCGCCCCCTTTCATTCTCCAAAGCCTAACGTGGGGAGTTAAGCACAGCCCAGAGAGTTAAATGAAACGGCTGCCTCTTAAACACAATTATGATTTCTTATTGTTTGTGTTTGCATTTGTCTGTGTCTCCTGAGGCCTCCTACCAGAGAGCCGTCTTAGGGTAGAGAATAAAAGCTGGAGTGCAGAGTTCAGCAAACCGTCAGGCGTAGTTGAGTGACTCTGACGTATGCCCTATTCCACACTCGTAGTCTCCCACTACTGCCCACAAGTGGCATGGGGGAAAGTGCCTTCCATCTTTTCTAAGCTTGGTCATTCTAATTTTTTCCATTTAATTTTGCTTAATTTAATTTACCATTTAAATGTGGGCTAAATGCTTAGCGTGAGTGCCAGGCTCTGCTGCTGCACTCTGTCCTGCTCCTCCTCTCGTCCTAGAAGGACGAGGTCTTGTATCCTGGGAACTGTCCTGCAGTGACCCAAACCGGACATCTCGAAGGGTGGCCGCATTCCTTGTTAGGCTGGCCTGTACCCCCAGGCCTGAAGGCTGACTGCACCTTCTCTGTTCACAGCTCACCTGCAGAAATTAATGTCTGATAAGAAATGTTCGGCTGAGAAAAAGTCTGAGATGGAGAGCGTCTTGATCCAGGTGAGCGCTTTGGAGAGCTCCCCAGTGAGCAGGCTGGGCCTGGGCCCTGCTGAGAGGCTGGCCCCTTCTTGTGAGCGTAGCCAGGCCAAGGGCAGCTTCCTGTGCTCCAGACCTGTCCTTCAGGGCCTTGCCTTGATAGGGGCCTGTCTGTGACCTGCCTCAGGTGACCTCTGGGCCTTCCCTGGAGGAACTTGGAACATTTCAGGCAGCTGGGGCTGCCTCCTATTACACACCGTGATCAATCTGTAGGGTGGGAGGGGGCTTTTCAGCCCCTTTCTCTCCTACCCATGTTTTCCTTCTGGGCCCACTGACCCATAGTAGAGAAACTGAGTCTGTAAAACTTAACCCCATGTGAAGATGGCTGGCTGCCCTCACAAAGGTCCTGTTCTAACGTGAGAGACATGAGACAGTAGGGTCAGTGGTTGGACAGCTGTCGGCTCCATTTACCCCTCAGCTTCCAGAGTAGTGGTGTCCATCCTGTGCTTTGGGAAGGTGACCTGGTGGCTGTGGGTAGGGTTGTCCGGGGAGCTTAGACATTTGGGGCTGGGGGAGATGGGAGGGGGGCCTGAGCCGGGGTGACTGGCAGCCTTGAGAGTGGAGTCGAGAGAAGCTGGGAGAGAGGCCACGTGAATTCCCCATTGCTTGGCTTGGTGGGTGACAGACAGTCCTTATGGGAGTGGGTTGGGGGGGCTGCTAGGACATCCATTTTGGGGTGTCCATCTTCAGGAAGCCGGTGCTGCAGGAAGGAGAGTGGGGCTGCCTGGGAAGGTCGTGGAGTCCACGGGAGCTGGGGGGACGCTCTCAATTGAGTGGACCTCCGATGGGGATCTGAGCCAGGAGAGGGTTAGAGAGGGGAGTCTTGTGAGGTCAGGGGGTCATGGGCCGAGGAAAGCCTTTTGTCTGCTGGCTGATGAGATCATTGGTCACCACTGGAGAGATGAAGTCAGAGGCACACGGAAAGGGCTTCATTGGCTGCCGTGGCCCTTCCCCCTTTCCTGTGGGGGGGGTCTCTGAGGAAGGTGGTTTCGGAGCTTGCTCAGGGAGCTTCCCCAAAGGTCTCTGTGCAGTTTGGGACACCCTCTTTAGACCATCTCATTTGACCCTCACAATGGCCCTGGGAAGGGAGGTGGTATTGGGATCCTCGTTTTACAAATGGGAAAACTGAGGCTGGGAGGTCTAATTCAGGGTCCCTCTGCTGACTGCCTTTTTCTGTGGCTTCCTCCCTGGGACTGAGAGCGCCCTGTGTTAGGGTGCTGGGAAAGCGGGGCAGCCACCGACAGGGAGTGGTTGGGGGTCAGCTGGGATCCACTGGTCAGGTGAAGGCGCCATGATGGGTCAGGGGACATTTGCGTGGGTGATGGGAAGATGGCGGCCTGGGAGTGAGGGAAGGGAGAAGCGGCCACGGTTATTTCACGTGGTCGCCGCAGGCTGCCGGCCATTTCTGCGTGGTACGGTGGAGGCCCTGGGAGTCCGTGGGGACAGCTTTACTCAGGACCGTCTCCTCCAGCCATCACTGGGCCTGAGGTCACTCTCCTGCTGACGATCCGTGCTCCGGGCTCCTCCGAAGCGTGCTTGTCACTTTGTCGCCGGCTTCCTTTCTCTGCCGCTCTGCGGGCTCCTTTGTTAGGCAGCGGTTGAGCCGCTTGGCGAACACTGAGGAACCGCGAGCCCGAGGGGTCGCGGAGGGGAACAGGATCTGGTCCCTCCCCTGCGATGGCCCCCTGGAAGCCAGCTGGGGGGGGGGAGCGTGCCATCTGGCGGCGTGTGGGGATCGTTCAGACGGGTTTGACGCTGACCGCTGTGCCCTCGTGTGCCTCGGCAGCTGGACAACTATGGGCAGGAGCAGCTCGCAGACCTCTTTGTGAACTACAACGTCAAGTCCCCCCTGACCGGAAATGACCTGTCCCCCCCTGTGTCATTCAACTTAATGTTCAAGACCTTCATCGGGCCTGGAGGGAACATGCCTGGGTATGTCACCCCGCCCTGAGGCCTCCCGCAGGCACCTGACCCAGGAAGCCCAGCGGCAAGGCTCCCGAGGCTGGCTGGGGGACTCCAGAGGGGGTGTGTGTGTGTGTGTGTGCGTGCGCACGTGCATGCGTACATATATGTGTGTGAGTGTGTTTGTGTGCACGCATGCATGTGTATGAGTGTGTGCATGCGTGTTTGTGTGTATGTGTGCGCGCATGTGTGAGCAAGGAGCCTGGGCCCTCAGCCCAAGGGCTGGGCCTCTCCCAGCATCTCCTCTCATAGCGTGTTCAGGCTGTGCCTTTAGGTACAGGCATCGTACTGGGCAGGACCTGGAAGGGTCTCTGGCTGTCAGGTCACACAAAGCCTGTTCCCAGAGGGGACCGGATGATTTAGAATCAGCTTGTCACTGGGTTCTCCTGCGCGTGGCCGTGGCTGCCACCCCAGGCTCCGGGGGTGTGAGAGAATGCTTCGGTGTCCTGTAGATGGAGGGGTTTTGAGATTGTCAGTCTTGCTGGCGCTGCAAACCTTCCTGCTGGCGGTGGGGGTGGATTGTCTCTGCTGACGACTGCTTCCTTCTCGTGTCCAGGTACCTGAGGCCAGAGACCGCCCAGGGCATCTTCCTCAACTTCAAGCGGCTTTTGGAATTCAACCAGGGGAAGCTGCCCTTTGCGGCTGCCCAGATCGGCAGCTCCTTCCGCAATGAGATCTCCCCGCGCTCGGGATTGATCCGAGTCAGGTACCACCTCATCCTCTGCGTGCCCGGGCGGGGGGGACGTGCGGCCGGCGGAGCAAGTGCTGGGGGATGCCCCCTGCTCCTCCCGGATGAGGTTGGTGGAGATTTCACCTAATACAGACGTAGTGGCCTCTGGTCTTTGGTTCTAGAGAGTTCACTATGGCAGAGATTGAGCACTTCGTCGACCCCAAGGAGAAACACCACCCCAAGTTTGACAGCGTGGCAGACCTCACCCTCTCCCTGTACTCAGCAAGAGCCCAGGTCAGCGGCCAGTCTGCACACAAGATGCGCCTCGGGGATGCGGTGGAGCAGGTGAGGAGGGGCATCCTGGCCGCTTTCCTGGCAGTGGGGCTGGATCTTCTCCCATACCAAGGGCCTCCATCGTGCCATGGATCACCTTGGGCGTTTGGGCTTGGCAGGAGTGCCCCCTCTGGAGAGTTGATGGGAGAGTGACTGGCACTCATGAAAACACTGGAATGTGGGGCCTGCTCTAGGGTGGAAATGTTGCTGAGGACAGAAGTCACAGAAAGGCTGAGTCCAACCCCGGGGGTTTTGTGCCCCCTTGGTGTCCAGCCTGGGACCCTGGGTGGCCGTCTCTGAGGGTGGCTCCACTGGACTGGATCCCATGACTGGTTGTCCCCGCAGACTCTCGGGGCTTCCTTGTCTGCCCCCAGATGCAGCCTTTCCCTGACTGGGGCCAGGCCCAGGAGGATGCAGAGACTTCAGGACTCCTGGGACACTTCCCCCTCTTGGTGTCCTCTGTGCAAGCAGGGAGTCTCATTTTCAGACAGCTGGAGGAAACGCTTTCGTTAGTTGGGGACGCCATATTGTGTCTTGAGATGCCTTGGGGCTGAGGCCTGTCATGGAAGCTGGTGGCTTCTCCCGTTTGGAGGAAAAGAGCTAGAGATGCAGAAGTTGGGCCCGTTCTTTGTAGCGGTTCCTAATCTTGCTGCACAGATTTCCCTGGGGGCCGTGCAGCGCATTCAGTAGGCGGGGAGTGACTCCAGGCTTCAGCCGCCAAGCATGCCTTCAGCTCTTGCCATGCTAGGCGCTACTTGAGGCACCAGGGACCCGGAGACAAGAAGACAGTGCCTGCGCTGCCTGCCCTCAGGGAGCTGACATTCTTGTGGGCAGGTGGAGTGACCATATGCGAGGAGGCTGTGCAGAGGAGAGGGAAGGGAGTCATCAGGGAGGGAGAGGACGAGGTGGCCCGATGTCCTTGAGAGCCCACGAGAACTGGGTTCTTAGTGAGGGGTAGAAGCATATGGGACATTGATCTTGTAGGAACGAGTCTTAGAATCCATTCGTTCGTGTTGGAGGGCTGTTTACCCAACATTTATTTAAATGCCTCCTCTCTATCATATAGACTGTTTGGGAAAATAGGTGAAGAAGGAGTCTTACCAGATTCTTTTTATGATACAAATATAGTGCTTATATCTAAATCAGGAAGAGTCAAAACAGGAAATGATAGACCAGTTTCCCTAATGAATATACATGCAAAAATTTTAAAGAAAATACTAGCAAATAGATTGCAGCAACTTATCACAAGAATAATACACTACGACCAGGTAGGGTTTATACCAGGTATGCAGGGCTGGTTCAGTATTAGGAAAACTATCAGCATAATGGATCATATCAACACCAAAACTAACAGAAATCACATAAATGCCTCTTGTCAGATGCACGGAGCCGCTCAGACGCCAGTATGAAGGAAGAAAACCTGTTGAAAAAGTGAATTTCCATCTCCATTTCGCTCTTAGCGGTGCTGTGCACAGAGCTCGGGCACAGATTAAGGAACCGCAGAGAAGGTCGCTCCCACTGCATTGACTCTCCTGTCTCTGTTCTTTCCAGGGGGTGATCAACAACTCCGTGTTGGGGTATTTCATCGGCCGAATCTACCTCTACCTCACCAAGGTTGGGGTGTCCCCGGAGAAGCTTCGATTCCGGCAGCACATGGACAATGAGATGGCGCATTACGCTTGTGACTGTTGGGATGCTGAGGCTAAGACGTCCTATGTAAGTGGACTGAAAAGACCCTTGGTCACCAAGCAGCTGGTTCTTCCGGGGGGGAGGTGGGGCGGGGTCCTCACCAGCATTCGTTTCCTTGATGCTTTGGGACCTTGGACTGAGGTGGGGAGGGGTGGTGACAGCCATTGAGCTGCCATGGATCAAGGTGGCAAGGAGGCCGAACTCAGTTCTGTGACGCTCTTAGGCTCCCTGAGAGCACCTAGAGCCGGGCCTTGAATTGGAGTAGGCACTTAAATATTTGTGGGAGGAATTCAGTGCATTTAAGAAAAAACATATAACTCTTGACAGCTGTAAAAAATGGAAGACTTCCTACTAGGAATCCTGCAAACTTCTGGAAAGGGTGCTTGGGCAGGGCTGTGGGTTCGGAGGAGGATGGAGCCCTGATCCAGTATGGCGCTGTGATCCAAGGTGGCTCAGTGCTGACCTGAGCCAGGCCTGCTCTGCTGTTTTCCCAAGGATCCCAAGAAAGGGGTCCATCCCGCCCATCAGGCAGCAGGCATCAGTTAAGCCCCTACTCTGCTCTGGGCCCTGGGCATTCTCCTCTAATTCTTGTTAGGGCAGAAACCACACGCCTCCGTTGACAAGAGAGTGAAGTGTGTGTGATGGGCAGCAGAAGGGTTTCAGGAGTAGATGAGGGAGCAGTAGGTTTCTGAGAAAGTTAGGGTTTCTTCCTAACCTGTTTTGAGTGCTGTATTTACAGATCGTTTTAAAAACCCAGTCCCACCCATTCTTTAGTTCACTTTCATTACAGAAGCGAAAGTAGCGCCATCCATCCTGATTCTCTTTTGAGGCAATGAGTGATTTCCTCCATTGAAATCAAGTGACCTCAAGCCTGGAGATCAGTCTCTGGCCTGCCTGTGCGTCAGTGATCCATAGCTTCACTCCCTTCCCTGATGCACGTTGCTACCCCTTGGTCATTTTGTTGGAGAGGGTCTGTAAGCAGGGTGATGGCCAGGTCGCAGTCTGCCTCTGCCCAGGTCTGCCGCCTTTACAGGGCCTCGGGACAGGCCTCCAGAAGTCCTGGTTACTAGGCCCATTCCCCACGTGGAGTCACCAAGGACAGACACGTCTTGGTGCATTCTGCCTATCCCCAGGTCCAGCCTGAGCTGATTTCCCTCCCTGCCCCCCACCCCGTGCCACAGTCTGGGCCCTCTGGAGACCTGAAAGCAGGGTTGGGGCCAGCTCTGGGTGGGTGTAGGAGGTTATGCAGCTCTGTAATGCCTTTTCCGACTTAAAACATATTTGCAAAATTAGGGCTAAATGGGGCAGCTAGGTGGCGCAGTGGATAGAACACCGGCCCTGAAATCAGGAGGGCCTGAGTTCAAATCTGGCCTCAGACCAAACACTTGACACTTACTAGCTGTGTGAGCCTGGGCAAGTCGCTTAACCCCAATTACAAAAAACAATTAGGGCTGAATCATCAGGATGGTGTAACTAATTGGAGTCCTCTTGTCACTGCCTCAGCACATCTGGTGACAGGAGACCAGAGTAGAGCAGAGATTTCTTTTGTTTTTCAAGTCTGCCATTCATTCATTTGTTTAGCGTTCAGGTTTTCAGTTTTGAGTTCCAAATTCTTTCCCTCCCTCCCACTGCTCCCTCACCCATTGAGAAGGCAAGCGGTATGTTAACGATTATGATGTGAAATCATTTCCATATTAACCATGCTGCAAAAGAAACGAACCCCCAAAAGCTAGAAAGTGGAAGAAGCCTGCTTCTGTCTGCTCTCCGTGGACGGGGGGAGCATTTTCCATCTCTGTCCTTAGGGACTGTATGGAGCAGGACCGCTGAGGCTGCCCCAGTGGATCTCTTCACTGTCATCTGGTGGTTCTGCTTGCTTCACCCTGCAGCGGTTCACGCGAGTCTCCCCTTCACGTTTTTTTGTCCTCCAAGCTCGTTCAGCCCTTCCCCCGTGTTTGGGCATCCCCTCAGTTTCCAGATCTTTGCCACCTCAAAAAGAGCTGCTGCAAATATGTTTGTACTGTGGGTGCTTTCCCTTTTCCTTTGATCTCTTTGGGATACAGACCTGTCGGTGCTGTTGCTGCATCACAGGGTGTGTGCAGTTTTAGAGCCCTCTGGGCATAGTTCCAAATTGCTCTCCAGAACGGTGGGATCAGTTCTCAACTCCACCAACAATGCATGAGTGTCCCGGTTTTCCCACATTTCTTCCAACATCAACTTTTCCCCTTTCTGTTCTGTTAGCCGGTCTGGTGGGTGTGAGCTGGTGCCTCAGAGTTGTTTTAATTTGATTTCTCCATGGGGGCAGCTGGGTGGCACAGTGGATAGAGCACCGGCCCTGAAGCCAGGAGGACCTGAGTTCAAATCTGGCCTCAGACCAAACACTCAACACTTACTAGCTGTGTGACCCTAGGCAAGTCACTTAACCCCAATTGCCTAAAAAAACAAACAAACAAAAATTTGATTTCTCCGATCAGTAGTGATTAGAGCACTTTTCACGTGGCTGTTGATAGCTTCAACTTCTTTGTCTGAAATCGGCCCGTTTGGGTCCTCTGACCACTGGTCAGCTGGGGAATGGCTCTTCTTCTTCCACGTTGGAGAGCAGAGATTTCTGACGCTTCTCTACTAGGGCTGGATTGAGATTGTTGGCTGTGCCGACCGCTCCTGCTATGACCTCACCTGCCACTCGAAGGCCACCAAAGTCCCGCTGGTGGCGGAGAAGCTGCTTAAGGAGCCCATATCCTTTCTGCTGTGGCCTCTACCACGGCATGGGCTGAGGAGTGGGGGCTCAGCTGGCCTGGGACAGAAGTTTGTGAGCACTTAGTACATCCTAGGTGCCCGGCACTGTGTTAGGTTCTGGGGGTGCTGGGGCAAAAAGGAAGCCGTCTGGGGGCACCCAGAACGTTCATCCAGGAAACAGAGTGGGATTCTTGCTGGGGGTGGGGGAGATGGCAGGGCCAGAGCAGGATCAGGATGGACTGCTTGGAGGTGGTGTCTGGGCAGAATGAGGACCAGAGAGTGTGCACTGGACGTGGAGGACAGGCTGTACAAAAGCATGGAGGTGGGAAATGGGTGATGTGTATGGAGAACCGCGTCCTAGGTGCCCGGCACTGTGTTAGGTTCTGGGGGTGCCGGGGCAAAAAGGAAGCCGTCTGGGGGCACCCAGAACGTTCATCCAGGAAACAGAGTGGGATTCTTGCTGGGGGTGGGGGAGATGGCAGGGCCAGAGCAGGATCAGGATGGACTGCTTGGAGGTGGTGTCTGGGCAGAATGAGGACCAGAGAGTACGCACTGGACGTGGAGGACAGGCTGTACAAAAGCATGGAGGTGGGAGATAGGTGATGTGTATGGAGAACCGCAAGCAGGCCAAGTGTGTGGAAGAGGTGGATGTGCGGCAGACCTGGCGTGTGCCAGAGCGCAGAGGGCCTGAAGAACTGACAGAGAAAGCTGAAGGCCGCGTGATTGGGAAGTAATGGGAGCGGATTGAGATGCCAGGGCCGGGTATTCAGGACAAGCGCCTTTCCCTGGTTTGGGTCTGGGCAGGAAAGCGGCCTGTGACGCTCTGGGGGCTCCCCTGCAAGGTCTGGGGTCAGCGCTTCTCTTGGTGGGGGTAGCAGGACCGGCTCAAGGTGGCCCTCTGTCTTCCCTCTCTTCACCTTTGAAGAAACAAAATGGTGGGAATAGGTAGACCTTGCGGAGGACAAAGAACAGATTCTGTTAGGTGATGACATCTGTCACCCCAAGCGCCTCCTGGTCGGTGCGCACGTGTGGCTTCCTTGACTGCCTCTCACAGAACGGTGAACGTGGTCCAGTTTGAGTCGAGCAAGGCCGCCGTCGGCAGGGCCTACAAGAAGGATGCGCGGCTGGTCCTGGACTACCTGGCCGCCTGCGACGAGGCCTACGTCACTGAGATGGAGAAGCTGCTCAGTGAGAAGGGGTGAGCACGGGTGTGGGCTGCGTCTGGAGGGGGCCTGCCTCGGCCGGCGGCGGTGGGGGGGCAGATACTCTGGAGATGGGGGGGAGCCTTGCTCTGGGTCCTGTAAGGTTGCATACATACACATGAAGCATCTGGTGCTTATAGTAGTAGGTCCCCCCCTCCCCCAGTACATACTGATGTGCACGCCACACACACACACGTACATACACACACCACGCGCACATGCGTGCGCACACACTCCACATACTTGTAGCACCCCCCACATATGCATATGTATACACTGACATACAATCACGATACATATCTGTATATATGCTTACACACATACGTGCCTCACATTCACACACCACACACACATATGCAAACAGATCCGTGTGCATATTCCTTCTTACAGACACACACACACACACACACACACAGACATAGTTACACGCATGCACGCACACAGTTGTTTATATTCTGACTTATGTGAAGCGCTTTGGGTTTCTGTAGGGAATTCACCATTGAAACAGAAGGGAAAACATTCCAGGTCACCAAAGACATGGTCAGCGTGCAGAGATTCCAGAAGACGCTCCACGGTGAGTGCCAAGGGCATGGTCAGTGTCCTGGGGGCAGGACGCCCTTTTGCTGGATCTGCCTCTCGTTAAAAGAGCAGGGAGATCCAGAAAGGGGGTGCCTGGGCTTGCTGGGCTCGGACCCGGGACCCCTCGTCAGGCTAATCAGGCGGAGGGTTTCTTCCCAGCGCTGCCGGGGATGGAACCAGAGCTTCCCACGATTAGGCGCTCTCTTCCCCAGCGGGACACCTGGGGTTTGGGCAGTGCGCTGTCCGCAGTCGTCACTGGTGGGAGGGTGGCCGCTCTGGCCGCATGTGGAGGTGATTATAGATGCAGAAGGCATGGGGCAGAGCTGCGAGCAGTCCCCGGGCCTCCCTTCCTTCAGTTGACATTGTTCCCCGAGGTGCAGGACTGTCCCTGCCCCTTCCCGTGGGCAGTGGACAGTGCCTTGGGGCAGCCATCTTCCCAAACCAGGAAGCACCAGGGCATGAGGCTCCTCAGGGATGAAGGCGGGCCGCGGTCTTCCTGTCCTGGGGTCTCGAGCAGGCTTGTCTCTGCCCTTTTCAGTTGAAGAGATTGTTCCAAACGTCATTGAGCCATCCTTTGGTCTGGGCAGGATCATGTACACGGTGTTTGAACATACGTTCCATGTTCGAGATGGGGACGAGCAGAGAACGGTAGGTCCTAGGTCTGTCTGTCGGAGGGGAAGTGCTCTGTCCCCACGCGGCCCATTCATCTGGATGGGTCTTTGCGCAGGAGTGGTGTTCTGTGTGTCTGTGTGTGCCACTGCCTTTTCTGTCCTCGTGGTCCATCATCCCTCTTGTCTTGCTCATCATCTGTCACCAGCGGCCTCCTCTCGGTCTCCATGTTTACCACGTCTCTGTCTCTGCGCCTCTCGTCTCTGAGTTGTCTCCAGGCCGTAGCCGCATGCGGGGCACCCAGGAAGTGCTGAGTGAATGCCCTGCGCTGCCCCGCTGCTGGCACTGGAGTCGGGGAGGGGTGGGTGTCAGGACCTTTGGGCCTCAGGTAACCCGCCCATTGACGCTCTGTGACCTTCCTCCTCATCCAGTTCTTCAGCTTTCCTGCCGTCGTTGCCCCGTTCAAATGTTCCGTCCTTCCGCTGAGCCAGAACCAGGAGTTCATGCCCTTCGTCAAGGAGCTATGTGAGTGGGTCCAGCTGGTTTGGGACGGATGTGGACATGTGTGTGCGCGGGCTTGAGCATCTGTGTGCGCAAACGTGTGAGCATGTGAGTGGGCATGCGTGGACGTGAGCATCTGTGTGTGTATGGGCATATGCTTCTTTCTCCTCTGTCTGTACCTGACTTACTGAGCATCTGAGGCATGCCCCTGCTTACAGGCTTCCCTTTGGGGCGACTCCAGACCGCGCTGTCGCCTCCTTACTGTCTGAGGAGGCCCTTTGTAGGGAAAGCTGCTGTGGGTGGGGCTGGGAGGCAGCGCGGAGATGAGCCCGGACCAAGTCCAGACAACCTGCTCGAGGTCCTTTTCAGCTCCTCTTAGCGCCGTGGTGTTCAGCTTCTCTTAGCACAGAAGCTCCTCGCCTTTCTCTTACAGATGGGGAAACTGAGGCAGAGAGGGTCCCCTAGTGACTGGTGACAGCCGGGCCTGGGGCGGGCTTCCAGGGTGGGGCCTTTCCCATGGTCCGAGCACCCCCCAGGCTTGGCTTGGTTCCCTTGAGTTGTAAGCTGGGGTGCACTTCTCACTTCCTCTCCGTGTCCCCCCTGACAGCCGAAGCCCTGACCAGGAGCGGGGTGTCCCACAAGGTGGACGACTCTTCTGGCTCCATCGGGAAGCGCTACGCCAGGACCGACGAGATCGGGGTTGCCTTTGGGATCACTATTGACTTTGATACCGTGAACAAGACTCCGCACACGGCCACACTGAGAGACCGGGACTCGATGCGCCAGATTCGTGCCCAGGTAGCTCTCTTCAGCTTTGCGTCGGGCTCAGCGAGGTCGGGCGCCTTTCTGCAGGAAACGTCACGCCCTGTCCGGTCGGGGTGGGAAGCTGCACGCTGTACATTAGCCCATCGTACAGACAGCAGTGAAATGCCAGCCGAATGTGTCTGGGGCTCAGGGCCGTGGGAGTCCTTGCTCCTGGAGGCCCAGTTGTGGGCCCAACAGTGGGCCAGCTGTGGGCCCGGCGGATAAGAGATTCCAGTTGGGAAGGCAGGAGGAGGGGGCTTCTGGGGGCTCCACTGTAAGAGCAGAGAAGGTCGGAGAAGATGTAGAAAACGGGCAGGGTGGGGGCGTTCCTGGAGGGGGAGGGGCTGTGCTGGTGTGGGCATCTTAGGCAAGGGGCTGCAGTGATTCCGCTGATTGTGGCCTCTCTCGTGGGGCTTATAGTCAGCCCCGAGACTGGGGCTGAGTTAAGGGCACACAGAGCATTCTGCCCCATTGGTGGGAGGTGGGGTGAGGCAAGGCATCGGCGGTCACAGGCCAGGAAAGTCTGGAGCATCCTGGTTGGTGAGATTGGGGTGGGGCCAAGGGCGGGGTGGGGCCTGGGGTCCTGGCTCTCTGCCCGGCACTGATGTGAACCTCTCCTTCTGCTTGCCTCAGATCACTGACCTTCCCAAGGTCATCTGCAGTTTGGCCAACGGCTCCATCACTTGGTCCGATGTGGAAGCCCGCTACCCGCTGTTTGAGGGGCAGGAGACGGGCAAGAAGGACACCATTGAGGACTAGGACTGGTGCGTCCTCTCCTCATCCTGCTTACGCGATAACCCGTAAACTTGTATCATGTGACCGTCTGTGCTGGGCCCCGACACAAATGACGATTAAATTAAAGGTTGCGCACAGCTGAGGCTGCCTCTGTCTGCTTGTTTCTGTACAGCTGCCCTCCGTCCGTCCGGCCTTACTTGTGGTGCTCAGTGGGCCGACCCTGCCGCGTGAGACAGCTCCCCCGGCATACATCAGACCACTTGTCTGCGTGAGGGCATCTCGTCTTTCTTTGTAAACACCGTCCTCATCACGGAAGGCTGTTGTTTTCCCCAGAGAGCCTTCAGGCCTCTGGGCAGACAGCCAGGCTCCGCCAGCTGCTGCCCCTGGTGCCCCCCCACCCCCCGGGCCCAGGCTGCTTGTTCCTGCCCTCCCCCCCCCCAGGGCCTCAAACGTCCCCCAGACCCCCATCTCAGGGAAACTCTTGCCCCATGTTGCTGCTCTGCCCCTTTCCGAGTGTAGGAAGGGTGGTTGGGCCTCGGGTGGGGAGGTGGGTGTGGGCGTGGCCCCTGGGCTGCCGGGCTCCCTCGCCCTGTGGCCCGTGTGATTGACCTCGATCTTGTCTGACTGATGTGGACGGAAGACGTTCCCTGTACCGTGGGTCCGAGGCTGGCCTTCCGCCCTTCAGCGTGCCACCAATCTCTGGGCCCGCTTGGGGAGCGACGTTCTTACCGTGTCCTCCCCAAGCTTCCGGCCTGATTGGTGTTTGGTTCAGCTGTCCAGGGCAGCGAAAGACGTGATCGCTTGTTGGCGGTATGACCCTTGGGCTCGCAGGGCTTTCCGGGACGCAAGCTCGACACCCTGGCTGGCTCCCCTCACCTCTTTGGCCGTTGCTTTCCTCCCCATAACATCGGGGGCTCGGATGAGATGAGCCCCAGGGTCCTCCCCTGCTCTGACGGTCTGTGGCTGTGGGCTGATGGTCTTGGAGGGGCTCTGGAGTCCATAGACATCTGACGAGCTGGCTCCCGACTGCCTCAGGTCCGAGCTAGGTGACAGGGATGAGCAGGTGTGTCTGGTCTGAATGTGGGTCTGTTGGGCTTTCCTGGGAGTCCCTCCTTCCGGGAGCCTAAGGCCGTCCAGGGTGGGGGGATCTTCCCAGGCTCGGACCAGGAAGGGGTGACAGACAGCCCCGATGATGCCTCCTCTGCCCTCGCCACTTCTTTGTGCTCTCCGGGCTCGCGGGGCTAATCAGCCGCACCCAGGCCGCTGAATGGTGACTGATGGTCAGCTGAGAAGCTCATGCCACGTTTGTACTTGTTCTGAGCCCTAATGTCGCTCTCTGGGCCGTTGGACGCTTTCCCTCTAGGCCTTTAGATGACTTGTATGTCTTGTGCGATGGGTTGAGCTGACGAAGGCTAGGATGGGTCAGGTCCCCTTTCTGGTCTCCTCACAGCGAATGCTGGGAGGAGCCCCTCCCCCCTGGGCTCACGCCTCGGACAGTAGAGGGACTGAGCTTCGCAGCCTTAGATCAAGTAGAGACAGGGCCCAGTTGGGCCCCCAGGGTGTTGCAGGCCAAGCTTTTATGATACATAAGACTTTTGATTTGGGGGGATTTTGGGGGGCTGGTATCTTACTAAACTGAGCAAGGGAATAGAATGACTTTCTCCCCAGAGATGAAACCACCTTGTGTGTCTCCCAATACGTTGGCCTGGTGGTCTGAGAGACATCTCTGATTTTTGCGGAAGGAATTTTTGAAATCTTTGTGGAATAAAGAATTAAAGTAGATCGATGCATGCCTTTACCCTTATTGGCACCTTACTGTCAATTCCTAAGACAGGGAGTCACCTGGGTAGAGCTGGGCAGAGGCCAGCCTTCATTGTAAGGGGGAAGCCAACTTTGTTTTAGCTGTCTGGGGGCCTTTGCCATTGCAGAAGCCAGTAGCAGGGTCTCTGCTGACCCCGCCTGCGGCAGGTGTAAGTGACACGGCCATCAGAGAGCCTCTCCCCCTGGAGTGAGGTGGACTGGGACATTCTGTTACTTGATGGATGGCTTTGCTTTGGGGAACTTGGCTCTTGTGACCTGTGGGTAATTGTCTGACACTGCCTGCATTACCTTAAAAGCTATGGCTCAGCAGAATGTAAGCCCCCTAGGGGTAGGGCCCGATTCTCACTGTCTTTGCTTTGGAAGAAGTGTAACTTGGAAGCTTGAACCAACATGGGGTGGAATGGAATGGAAGTCTGCTACGGGGGAGCCCGTAGAATTGCTGGCCAGAAGGTTCCCCTGTGGCCTCATTCTTTTGCAACAGTGGGACCACCCCCTCCCAGCCATCCCAAGAGACCACCTAGGTACACAGGTGTCTTTTTTCTCTTCAGGGTTTGTATTTTTAAATGCATGATAAAGGATATCACCTTTCCTAATCCCTGGTCACAGTAATAATTTTAAAAAGTTTGCACAATCAGTGCTAAAAGTGCATTGAGTTCAACCCACAGCAGGAAGACGCACCAAGCAGCATTTGGTGTGGGAGGAGCTGAAGAACTGAGAGGGGCTTTCAGCAGGGAGGGGGACGGCTGATCTCAGCCCAGGTTTTCAGAAAAGCTGAATGTTCTGGTCTCGTTCATGTATGACTCCACGTCGAGGTGAATGTGATGCCCTAATAAACCTTGAACATCTCTCAGACTGTCCTTGGTCTTTTTGTGAGTTTTCCCTGGGGTGCCCCCCATCCCCATCCGGCTCGGCGCCCTCCGGGGCTTTTTCTCAGGGTTATCTCAGTAATGGAGCTATGTACAGGGAGTGAGGCTAAGTTTGCGTCACCGCTTGAGAACAGAAGGGAGGGTCACTGGGGCCTTTTTTGGGAGGCGCTGTCTCCTGGAGATTCTTTGATCTGGGAGTCCCAGGTTCAGGTACCCCGCTCCAGTGTGTGGATAAAGGCCCCAGGAGCCCTGCTTGGAGTGTCTCCTTGAAAGCTGGGTCTATGTTTATATCATCTGAAAAGTGGGGGTGACAGCAGCATCTGCTTCCCAGAGTCAGGCACGCTCTTACGAGGGAACCCTCAGAAAGCTGAGGCTCTTGTCAGTGCTGGCTATTGATTGTTGCTAACCTGGGCAGATTCGGGATCTGGCAGGTAGGGCCTCACCTGACCCATCCATCTGCTACCCAGGACCATTTTGTTACAAAACGTCCATCTGTGTCTAGCCCAAATCCCCTTTATTCTTTTAAGTCTTAATTTCTTTTAAGTGCTTTCCTCATGAATGGGATGGCATGATTGGGCCAGGTCATCATAGAGTCGGGGTCTCAGGCCAAGGAAATCATTCAGAGGGGAAGACAGATCTTAGAAGTTGTCAATGGATGCAGAAGATGGGGCCTGGAATCCTCATGACGACTCAGACCATAGGAACCAGGGTGTTTTTGTTATTCCAGGGATGGCAGTCACTGAGCAGGAATGTTGTTTGGTACCTGGCCAGTCTCCCCCAAGGGGCCTTCAGTGAGCAGCAGCCACAGGAAAACAGTCTGTACCCACTAGACTGTGCACCACAGAGTGGCCGCCGTGTTGCACAGGGCCTACCGAGTCGAAGGTGCTTAATAAATGCTTATCAAATTAAGCCCAATAACAGTAGGGACATTCAGAAATCCACAGGAGACCATATTCAAGGGGGTCCAGTGAAAGCCGAGGGCAGCCCCCTGGGCTCAGCATTGAAGCCTGAATGCCAAATCTGCGCCAGATGAGCGCATGATCCTTATGGGAGGAGGCACCCCTGACCCCCGGCTGCCCAGAATGTGGCTCTGTTAATTCAGAAGATGGCACAAGCGCCTACGAGGTGACAGGCGTGCAGTGTTTTAGGGCACAGATGAGGGGATGAGGGAATCACAGGGAGGGAACCAATGAAGAAGCCTTTAGTGAGTGAGGGGGAGGGGCTGGCAGCAGCCCAGGCACAAAGGGACCCTCCAAGCGGCAGCCTCTTCTCAAACTCAGAACTGCAGGATCTGTACAAAGGAGCTCAGCGACCATCTGGTCTGAGTCGTGGCTGAAAGGAATGGCTCGCCTAACGGGCCTGACCACGGCGCATGCCATAGCCTGAAGGTCACCCTGGAGGGCGGGCAGACCCACCACCTGCACTGACTGCCACTGACTTCTAGCCTGAACTGGCCTTTGGGATTTTTCTCCTTTGCTCCTGGTTCCAGAACCACAGGCCTTCTAACTCTTAAGAAAGGTTCCCCAAGTCCTCTTTGTGCAACTGATGGGGTTGTGGATGAAGACCTGAGTTCAAATCTAGCTTCAAGCACTAGCTGTGAGACCTTGGGCAAGTCATTTTGCCTCAGTTTGCCTCAGTTTCCTCATCTGTAAAATGGAGATGATAATAGTATCTATCTCCCAGGGTTGTGAGGATCAAATAAGATCATATTTGTAAAGCACAGTGCCTGACACACAGTAGGCACTGTACAAATACTATTGTTATGTTTGTAAAAAGTGTGTAACATAATGCTGGGCACCTAGTAGGTGCTATATAAATGTTTATTCTCTCACTTCCCACTAGAATAAACACCCTCCATCTGCTTGTCATATGGAATAGATTCCAGGCTATTCACCATCCTGGTAGCCCTGTGCTGGGCCCTCTCCAGGTCACCAGTGTTGACCAGAATTCTCCAAATGTGGTCTTGTTATACCGAGAAATGAGCGAGTTGACGACCCAAGCTAATTTTAAATTGTGGACTTTATTAGCGCATGGCTGCCAGGGATATTCACATCCAAATCAAGCAGCCCCCATCAGGGGTTGAGCTAGGGTTTATACAGGGAGTATACAGGACGGGGAGGGGGATGGATCTTTGAAGTCTGGCAAGAGGAAGAGGTTTTTTTGGGGGGGGGGCTGGTCAAGGACACCCTTCTCCCTCTGTGTAGATATGATAATGCTCTGCAAACTTTCTCACAATGGAGGCTTCCAGAGATATGATCTGAGGGCTGTGGCCTGAGCAGCCAGATAAGGGTCTTGCTAAGGAATTTGGAGGCTTCCATGGCCTAAAGGGTTCTACTACCCAAATGGTAAAATAATGTTCTGCATTACAGTCTGACCAGGACAGAGGTCAGAGGGACCATCCCCTGCTTATTCCCGAGTATATGCTAGGATTAAATGGTCATTTGGCTGTCACATCACCCTGCTGATCTACCTGGAGGTTTTTTAGACACACTGCTGTCTAACCATGCCTCCGCCATCTTGCTAACTTTTTGAACCAAAGTATGACTTTACATTTGTCCATACTGAATTCTAAGGTTCACCCTGTTGCTCTAACTAGCTGAGATCTTTTGGGATCCTGACTGTCCTCCAGTGTGTTAGCCATCACTCCCAGCTTTGATTAGCCTGCCATCTGTTCCTTTATCCAAATTACTGATAAGAATATTACTCAGAACTCATCTCGGGGAAACCCAGCCAAATAGACATCCAATCTTCGTGTGTGTTCTCTCCATGTATGCACTTTCACCATTAAAGTGGATTTTTCTGGTCAGCTAACAAGCATTTATTAATTACCTACTGGTCCTGGAGTCAGGAGAACTCATCTTCCTTGAGTTCAGATTTGATCTCAGACACTTCCTAGGTCACTTCACCCTGTTTGCCTCAGTTTCCTCATCTGTAAAATGAGCTGGAGAAGGAAATGGCCAACCAGTCCAGTATCTTTGCCCAGAAAACCCCCAATGGGGTCGTGAAGAGTCAGGACTGAAAACAAATGAGCACCAACAACGATACACTGGACACTATGCTAGTGCTGAGAATACAAATAAAAGCAGAATTCCAGCCCATCTCCATGGTGCTCATGGTCCAATGGGGAGGAGGGCCTCAACGTGCAAACGATTATGTACAAACAAGATACACACGGGGTAGGCTGGAGAACATCAGCAGAGGGACTGCGTTAGCCTGAAGGGGATTGAGAAGGGGGATTGCTTTTGAAGGAGGCCCCAGGAGCTAGGAGGTGGAGAAAAGAAGGGAGGGCATTTCGGGCATAAAGGACAGCCGGGGAAAACATCCAGAGTTGAAGATGGTGCTTTCAAAGTCCAGCTAGGAGGCCGGGTGGCTGGATTGCTGAGGGTGCGGCGGGGCGTGAGGTGGAAGAAGGCAGGACCTTAGGGTTAGGTTATACACAAAGGGCTTTAGGAGCCAAACAGAGGATTTTATATGTGATCTTGGCGGCTATGGGGAACTACCGGAGATTATCCAGTGGGGGGGAGTGACATGGCTGGACCTGTGCTTCCGAAGAATCACTTCAGCGACTGAATGGAAGATGCAGCGGAATGGGGAGAGGCTAAAACTCAGCAGACCCTCCAGCAGCCTGAGGTGATGAGGGTCTGCACCAGGGGGTGAGCATCAGTATTGGTGGAGCGTGTTCCCCAGCCACTGTCAGGGAAATGCCTCCTTACCTTTCTCACTCTGCCAGCTTCATTCAATGCCTTTGTTTTGAACTAACGGTAAAATAAATAGAAAAATGTGAACAGAATAATTGATGCGGGTTCTTCAAGTATGGCTTTGGGGGGGGGGTGAGCCCAGAGTACTTGAACCTCAGCTTCCCATTCTAGGAGGTGCCCATACCTTTGAGTTGAGAAAAGAGTCCTGCCAGGGGCAGACCCAGGTCTCCCTTGAAGGGCGGCTGGGTCACGGTGGGTTGGTGTCCAGGGCGATGGAAGGGGAGGGCAGAGCAGGCTGGAAAACCGGAGGGGCGGGATGGAGGCGGATGGCACGAGGGAGCAAGGTCTCAGAAAGGGAGGCGTCGCCTGGCTCGCCTTCCGCGTGGAAGCGCAAGGGTTTGGAGGCGCGTCTGCTCTCCCCCTTCTCGGTTATAACAGCAGCTTCCCCCCCAGGATGATGCCTTTCTCACCTTAGAGGAGTCTGTGGCCCCAGGCTGGGCTGGGTGTCCGGGAAGAACACACGTGTGCAAATGCGCGCATGTGTGTTTATGTATGCATGTGCATACGTGCACATACATGTAAGTGCCGTACGATTCAAGGAGCCCGGGGGAAGGCGTGTGTGTCCTTTGTCGTGCCTTCATGGCGCCCTCCAGTGGTCAGTGTAGGCACGGGGCTCACGGCCGCGTGCCCTGCCTGCTCCACGAGCTCCAGGCTCGCCTCTGGCCGGCGTGCTGAGCTCTTCGCAGCCTGGCCCCCTCCTCCTTCCTACTGCCCTCGCCGGACCCCACGGGCCGGGTGAACAGCCTTCTTGCCTCCCAGCCCGGTCCCCGCATTCGCGGGGCCCCGTGCCGGAATGCCCTTCCTCGTCATTGCCCCTTCTGCTCCCAGGACCGCCTTCTGCGCCAGAGCGGCCTGCCGGCCCCCAGCGCGGCCCAAACAGATGAAATGTCCAAACTCAGGAGACGGGGCCCGGAGCCGCAGCGCCGGGGATCCGCATGGGCCGCGGCCTGTCAAGTGATCTCCAGCGAGCTCCAGTAATGATTCGGCTTGGCCTGGTGGAAGGACCTCGGGAAGCGGGCCCGCTTCTGGGAGCGAATCGCTGACAGCTCTCCCCAGCTCAGATTTCCTAGCTGCGGCGGCAATTAAGCAGATGCAGATTCACTCGAGTGTTACTGGGTCCACAGCGTCGTTTGTTGTCAGATCTTAAACAACAGACAGATACTGAGAGCACGAAGCTTGGGGGAGGGGGTGCGGGGAAGGTAGCTCCCCCTCTCCCCTTCTCCAGGGCA